CGTGGCAGCGAGCGCTGGGTGAAAAGCTCTGGCACCTCTTGCTGTCTCACCTACAGACCACTGGAGACACCTGGCCTCTCCCTTCCTCCCTCTGACTGAAGGATTACATTTCCTACCACATTAGCAATTCAGATGCTGAACTGGTCTGTGCTGGCTGCTCTGATCAGTGGATGCGATAAAGAGATTAGTGCCTTTCCTTTAGAGGAACACCAGCCATTGATTCAGCTGCTTTGCATAAATGGCAATGAATAAAGCAGTGTGTGTGTGTGTGTGTGTGTGTGGGATGAGCTGTCCCACACTGGGACAGGCGAGGACGTTTTCTTCTCCGTTCCTGGACTTCCCTTTCTCTCGCTGGTTAGTTGTGGAGGGCTCTCAAAGGCTTGAGCAAAGGAGCCCTGGGCAGAGCAAGTGCTTTCCGGAGCTCTGGGGACATTCCTCCGTGTCTGTAGTGGGATTGGAGACACCTCCCTGCTCGTGAGCTTGGCCTCGACCTCCCTGCTGCGGTGCAGAGCTGGTGACAGACCTTTCTTTCTCCAGTTCATGCTGGAAAGGAGTGGAATGGGCAACCTGGAGCGAGAAGGGGCACAGAGAGGGCAAGAGGGCAAGGTTTGTTACTCCTTTTGGACCATGCTGTCGTCCAGCCTCTTCCCTCCCTGTCCTTCCGTGGGATGAAGGTGCCAAGCACGTATCCTACCTTACCTGGCTGCAGGGCTCAGTCACTCAGGAGTGACTGCGGTAGAGCCAGTGTGGATGGTGGTGTGGTGCCTGAGGGCCAAGAGGGTTCTGCCTTCTAGGACAACGTCCCTTCAGGGGAAGCTTTCTCTGGGTCACAGGCTTTACTGACTCCGTTGCCCGTGCTGCCCTTCCCCGTGGCCTCTGTGCCGTCTGCTCTGCGCGGCACCAGTGTGATGGAGCAGGCGCTGAGATGACCTGTGCCTTTGCTTAGTGCCCGTGCCCTGGGCTCAGGCGGGAGATGGGGGCTCGGGGTGCAGCAGCCCTTCTTCTCAGGCACGGGGCTTTGGGGTGGGTGCCTCCAGCAAGGTTGGCTCGGCCCCCCTACACCTCAAACGCACCCTCGGTATCCCTGGAGAGGGACCCAACTGAACCGCGTGGTTCCTGGCAGGCAGCATGCTGAGATGGTGATGTCCTCGCCCAGGAAAGGACCTCGCTGTGCCTAGAGCATCCTCCTCTCGCTGGCACTGCCCTTGCAGTCCTGGTCACCCGGAGGGCTGCAGCCCATCCCCGAGCCTGGGCGGTGTGAGCAGCTCTGCCAGGGGAGAGAGGAGAGGCACGGGTGGGTGCCTGGACCCGGGTGCTGGGCTGCACCCCTCCTGTTTGCGGAGGAGCTTACCTGTCTCTCCATGCCTGTGCCCACAGCGTGTCGAGGGATGCTCTGCGGGTTCGGGGCGGTGTGCGAGAGGAGCTCCACCGACCCCTCCCAGGCCTCCTGCGTCTGCAAGAAGACAGCTTGCCCCGTCGTGGTGGCTCCTGTCTGCGGCTCTGATTATTCCACCTACAGCAACGAGTGTGAGCTGGAGAAGGCCCAGTGCAACCAACAGCGGCGGATCAAAGTCATCAGCAAGGGACCGTGTGGTGAGTGCGAGGGCAGGCTCTCCTGCTTCCAGGAGGTGACCGTGTGAGGCCAGGGAGACTCGTCCCGAGTTCACGTCATCGCTGCGGTGCTGGTGATGTCCAGGGGCACAGGGACAGGTCTGATGGGAAGGAGCAGCGAGAGAATCACCAGCTCTGTCTTGGTGATGGGCAGAGTTTAATGAGCAGGCAAACCGATGGCCAAAGGCTACTCTTCAGGAGGTGTGTGGCAGCCCGGTGGGGAACAGCCCTCTGTCTCAGGCAGCTCTGCCTGCTGCACCACACGGCCTCCCCAGAGCGGGTCGTGTCTGCCACGGCTAGAAGTTGGGGAGACCCAGCGTGTGCACAGGCTGGGTGGGCTGATGAAAGCCCTTCCCCAGCCTGGCATTCACCAGCTGTGAGCAAGGAGCTGTGTAAATGAGACCCCAGTCTCCTCATCTCAGAGTAAATTAACTTGACCTTTCTCTCACGCGGCACTCTGGCTTGCAGTAGATCTGCACCCGGCACTCCTGCTGGGGCTCTTGTCAGAGGGGAGAGACTGCCGAGTGATTTATTTAAAATAATAATCATAAAAATGTGACAAATAAAGGGCAAAAGAAAAAGCTGGCAAATACATTTTGGCCCTTCCCCGTCAGTGAGGAAATTGCTTCTTGAGCTCTTCCTCTAATTACAGTTTGCAGGAGGTGCCTTAAGGACCCTTGTTTTGCTCATTTGCTGGAGCAAGAGGCTCTCGGTTGTAGGGAAGGATGGCACCTCGCAGCAGTGAGGCTGAGAGGTTTAGAAAGGAAGGGCTCTGCCTGAAGTGCCAGGTGGGGAGTGAGCTCCCTTCCTCGCGTGCCGTGGGTTCGGGGCTGATCCTACAGCCTCACGATTCTGCCTGCCTCCATGGCCATTGGGGTGGATGAGCTCGCTGCTCAGGACCAGGGACGTGGTTCCAGCATCCACTGAAGCCGATGGAAGGACATCCATCGGCATCGTGTACGTTTCTGGGCGCTCGGAGGGCCTGAGGCCGATGGAGAGATACCGTGGTGTGTCGGGCTGATTTGTGCCGTGAGAGGAGCGAGCGGGAGATGTCGGCATGGGAGCAGAGGCCCCCGCGCTCCCGCCTATGCCGTGCCCCCTCTTCTCTCGCCTCAGGCTCCAAGGACCCCTGCGCAGAGGTGACCTGCAGCTTTGGCAGCACGTGCGTCCGCTCCGCCGACGGTCAGTCGGCCAAGTGCGTCTGCCCGTCGTCCTGCAGCGGCGTTCCTGAGAGCGCGGTGTGCGGCAGCGACGGCAAAGACTACCGCAGCGAGTGCGACCTCAACAAGCACGCCTGCGACAAGCAGGAGAATGTTTTCAAGAAGTTTGACGGCGCCTGTGGTGAGTCCCCTGGCCCCCCCCCTGCCCCGGGGGTATTGCTTTAAAAATGTTTCCTCTTGCATCAGGAGTATTGAGGGCAGACCAGTGGGAAATAGCAAGGGTCGCGGGGAAAAGTTTGCCCGCACGGCTGCTGTCGTCAGCTCGAAAACACGGGCTGGGCAGAAAAAAGGTCGGTCTGGGGGCGACAGCTTCTGAAACTCAGACCAAGCCGACGCTTCCCCCCGTGGCGTTTGGCTGTGGGTGTTTCTGCTGGGGACCCACTGACCTAGAGAGCAGGCGCAACATCTGCGCCACCTCCTTTCCCTCCTGCTGTTTCCCCTGGCTGGAGTCCCCTCGGCTGCTGCTTTTGGCAAGAAGCCTGCTGGTAGCCGACGTCCCAGGGCTCGCGGGCAGGCAGCTCCCTCTAATTAAAGGAGCCCGACAGGCACAGATCCCAGAGTGCAAACACAGTCCTGCCACTCCAAGGATGGCCTCCTCTTTGGCTAATGATGGCTGGGGATACTTGTAATTAAAAGCAACTGTATTCATTAGGAAAACCATGAGATCAGCCAGGACACGTGCCAGACCAGTGTTTGTCCCCAGGGGAAGGAGTGTGGGAGTGTTTGGGCAGGCTGGAAACCTGGAAGAGCTTTAATTGCGCTTTCGCTGCTCGGTCCCAAGTAGGGCGAGATGGGTGCAAGTGGGAGGTGTGAAAGAGATGTCACCCTGGGTGCTCCAGGTTTCTAGGGCGAAGAATAGGCTTTGAGCCTCGCTGCTCCTTCGAGGTCCTCCTGATTTTAGCTGGGCATCAGCAGAAACTCGGGCAGTCTGGGTTGAGCGGCTGGGCTATAGGACCTGAAAATACTTGAAGGTATTTGGCCTCTGTTGGGTGTGCTGTAAGGCTTGAGGATGTACTGCAAGGTAGGGGAGAGAGTGGGGATGAGCAGTGCAGGCAGAGTACATCTCGAATATCCTCATCATGCAGTCCCTGAGGTATGTCTGTGCGCCTGCCTCGTCCCCAGCCCCTCTGATGCAGTCCCCATCTCCTCCACTGTACCACATCCCCGCCCTGCTAGAGCAGCCTTATTTACCCACAGCTCCTTGAGCCCACACAAGATGTTCTTGTGATTTCGTTGGTGTTCGTGGAGGCCTCCAAGGAGGTAGCACATCCCTGGCTGTCTGCGGGTGTCACCGCAGGGCAGCAGCGAGCACGGGACAGCTCTTGCTGGAGGGGTAATGGGAGATGGATTGGGTAGGTCCTGCGGGAGCTCCTTTGTCTGCTTCGTTTCCACGATTACTGCACATGCTACAACGGACAAAGCGAAAGGCTTCAGCTGTGACCCTGTCCCAGGCCAGCCTTCTCCAAGGGATGTGGGGGCGGCCGAAAGGGAGGTCTGCCGCCTGCTTGCGAGAGGCTGGGGAAGCAAGGTGCTGTGTTGTTTCTTCCCCTTGTCAGCCTGGGACTGTGGTCAATGCCTAGGGTTCAGGCTAGGTAGGATTAAAGGGTGAAAACATACAATCGTGTTTCTGCAATTGCAGACAATGAATCAGCACTCTCCAGGTACTGTGCTTGGCAAGGGAGAGAAAAACCTAGGGCTAGCATAGGGATTAGGGAAGAGTCTGCTTTGCCCATGTCTTTGGTATGCTAATGTGAGCTCAGCTTATCAGCGAGGTTGATCCAGATAAGCCTAGATTAGAGCAGTGGGGCTAGGCAGCAGTGTGGCCCTGCCTGCCTTCGGGGCTCTTCCAGCACTTCGGGAAGAGGAGGAGGAGCGGGATGGGAGTAAGAAGAATCTTGCAATGCCCAGCTAACGCCCCTTGGGCTTGGGAGGTTCGCTTGGGTTGAGGGAGAGAGCCCTGTCCCCTAGACAGCAGGGAGTGAAGGCAGCTCGGGATGGGATAGAAGGCAGAGCTCGTTCCATCCAGCAGTCGCTTTGGAAAGGGCGAGTGTCCTCAGTGTGGGCAGCTCAGTAAAAAAATGAGTCCTTGCATGTGCAGAGCCCTACAGATACCCAGTCTCAAGGAAGAGATCAGCACACGCTGAGCGCCGCTGGGGAAGGTACAGGAGCTCTGGGGGCCAGCTGGGAGGGAGGAGGGCAGGCTGGGAAGCGCCTCTCTGGGCAGAGCATGAGTGCGCCTGACTGTCTGCTCTGGCTCCGTGCGCAGACCCGTGTAAAGGCGTCCTCAACGACATGAACCGTGTTTGCCGGGTGAACCCCCGCACCCGCAGGGCAGACCTGCTCTCCCGCCCTGAGAACTGTCCTCCAAAGAGGGAGCTTGTGTGCGGGGACGACGGGGTGACTTACGACAACGAGTGCGTGATGGGGCGCTCGGGGGCCATCCGGGGCTTGGAGATCCAGAAGGTGCGTTCAGGGCAGTGCCAGCATCAGGGTAAGTACCTCTGTGCTTCCTGGGGAACAGGAGCGTGTGGGTTCCTGACCTTCCCCCTCCGTGCCGTGCTCTTGGCAAGGAGAGGACACCCTTCCCCTGTCCCCGTGGTGGGCGCAAGCGGCGCTGTCCTCTCTCTTCCCAGACAAATGCAAGGAGGAGTGCAAGTTCAACGCCGTCTGCCTGAACCGCCGCGGCACCGCTCGCTGCTCCTGTGACCGCGTCACCTGCGATGGCGCCTACCGGCCTGTCTGTGCCCGCGACAGCCGCACCTACAGCAACGACTGCGAGCGCCGGAAAGCTGAGTGCCACCAGAAGGCTGCCATCCCAGTAAAGCACAGCGGACCCTGTGGTAAGCACTGGTGCCGCCGGGCTGGATGCCCGCAGGAACGCTGGTACCCCCATACCTCTCGCTTCCCAGCCCCCAGCAGCCACTTTTGAGCTCAGCCTGTGTCAGTCCTTTCCGTGCAGGCCGTGGTGCTCGCGTTGGTGCGGGGAAGCTGCAGGTAAGTTGTGACTGGGGGGCCCAGCGTCTGAGCAAGCCACAGGCTCTCTTCAGTCTTGCGGCCGACAAGCCCTGAATATCCATTCCTCCCTGTTCTTTTTCCTTCCAGCAGTCATCAGTCCTCGTATGTGTGTGCCCATGTGTTCCTCCTTGGTCTTGTCTCTGTCTGATGTGCTCAGTAACACGGGGAAGAAGCGTTTGTGTTGTTTAAACTGTGATGTCCTGCTGGTTTCTCTCGTTCACCGCCACGGCCAGGTGCACATTCACCGCCACGCAGTTCCTGTGCAGCCCACGCCATTCATTTCTCCTCCCAGGGTAGTGCCAGCCCCTCAGCTCCTTCCATGCTTCCCTCTCCATGCCTGCCTGCTTCTCTCAGCTCCAGGTACTCTCCGTAAGGAACCCTTCTCAGCACGCCCGCTCTCTGGAGGTCTCACCGTGTCTTTGTCGTCTCTGGGAGAAGCTTTTGACCTTTCCAATGGATGCTTTTTCAGGCGTATGTGATAGGATGGGGCTTCAGGTCCCTAGGATGTTGGGAACGTCCAATTTTAAAATTACTGTGCAGAAGATGAAGGAGGTTAAACACAGTCACTGAATTGATTCGTATGAGCTGGAAGGACTCTTCGTTTCAGCTCAGATTGGTTTTTTACTAGATCTAGAACTGTGTCCTGTTATTTTAAGCTGATGTTTTACAAGGTATCAGCTGTATCAAACCTTCTGTAGTACTTGGAAATCAAGCCCCATGTTGTGGGTCTGTTTTGTTGGCTTTGTGCTCCTAGGTGCTCCTGTGCAGTAGGTTTTTAATGCTGCCAGGCCCAGCTGCTTGAAAACGGTTTGTCAAGCTCCCAAAATCACACTTAATGTAATCACAATGTTATTTTAAATCGGCTGTTTCCCTGTGTTTCTGGTGGTTGAATGATTAGGAGTCAGTTCCCCAAGTTCTCCCTACAGGGAGGGCAACAGAGGCACCTTTCAGTCCTCTGTCTCCCTGGGCTGCGGGGAGCTGGTGCTGGATGGCAACCAGAAGCCTTGCCAAGAAGCCACGCACGGCGGCAAGTCTCGTTTTCCTACCCTGTTGAGCCGCTGTGGAGCTTTGCCAGAGCTCTGGGGCAGCGGGACCAGGAGGTGGTTGTTTGCAGCTGGGTGGCCGGGCCCTGGTGCCCTGGGCTCTGTACAAACCCTTCCCTGTACCTGCGTTAGTCAGGTCCTTGCTAAGACTTCCCGAATTTCTAGGGTGAGCAGAGAACTCGTGCTGCTAGTGACCCTGCTGTCAGACATGCAACATTTCCACCACGTTCAGTGGAGTGAGGCCGGTGGACAGTAGGATATGGTCCCTGTGCATCTGTGGTTCCTCTCTCCATCTTAGTCTGTTATTTTAGCTTCCCCTCAACTCCTCTTCCTCCAGGCGAGGACGGCGGATGCACACATCTGCTTTCAGGAGCTACATCCTCGTGGGGTAGGAGCAAACAAAGCTCGTAATCCGGGGGAAGTAAAACAAAGCCGGGGCTCTGTCTGCCGAAGCCTAGGATTTCAAAGTCCACGTGACATCTCCAGGCAGCCCTGTAGCAAACCACCGTGAGGTGTGGGCAAGCCTTTGGCCTCCCCATCCGCTTAGGAAAGCATCTTCTCTCTCAGCTCGGTGCTGCCCTTTGGGAAGAAAGCACGTCCTCCTCTGTGTCAGCAGCTCAGGCTCGATGTGAGATGAGAAACAGAATTAGAAACGGGGACGGGGTGATGATGTTGCTTGCCAGCTTGTGTGTCAAGACAGGTCTTCTCGGCGTGAGCACTGCTGGGGATGCTAACTCCTCTCCTGGCTGAGGCTTCCTTGGGAGGCAGGGTGCAGTCCACCAGCGCAGGCTGGGACAGGACTCGTGGGGCACTCAGCAGTGGGCCAGACCAGGGGCTGAGGGAGCTACAGGCTCTGTCCGCCTCCCGCACGCTGGGCAGGGAGCTTGGCGAGTTCGTCCCTGCCTCTGCTGTGAGGATGCAGGAGATGCACGGAGCTGGGAAGAAGAGAAGGAAAGGAGAGACAGGCCGTTAGTGTGGTTGCAATATTTTAATCTCTCACACGTACCTGTCTCACGAACAATAAGCTCTGCCGCTGTTTTTTCCAGCAACAAGGCAAAGGAGGCAAAGCCAAACAAAACAGTCCAGGCCTTGTTTTTAATCCTTCTCTGCTTTGACACCGCGATGGTGCAGCTGAGAAAGAAGAGATGGGACGAGACTGATGTGGACAGGAGGTGGAGGGAAGGTGTCTGTAGTTGCATCTGTCTTTTCCTCCCTGCCTCTCTCTGCTCTCTCCCTCCCGGCTCTCTTTCTCTCTCCACTCTCTCTCTCTCTTTCCTTTTTCGCCTGTGTATTGTGTTTTACAGTGTTGCCTGTTTGGAGGAAGGAATTGTGTCCTCGCAGCACCCTTCTGCTCCCTACCCGGACATCTCTGCTAGGAGGTCGGCTTTCTCCCCTTCTCCGTAGCCACTGACAGTCCTGGCCTCTTCTCACTGCTCCCCACCTCTCTAGTTTTGCTTGAGAGCCCCTGGGATGGAGAGATTGCTCTGGTTTTGCTCCCATCCCTCGCCCCAAACACTTCCTGCTGGAATGGAAATGCCTTGCAGTGCAGTGGGGTCTTGTCCGATGTTTGCTGTGGCTTGACCCTTCGAGGCAAATGAGAGTGGGAGCAGAGGTGGGTGCTGTGAGCCCCCCACTCCTTAGCAAGCCCCCCTTCGGCTGATACATCAGTCTGGACTGCTCGTGGTTGATCTTACCTCTCCTTTTGCCCTCGACTAACCCCCCTTTCTTCCCCACCTCCTCCTTCCCAGAGACTTCTGCCTGCCTGGGACTGTGATGCTTGTCCCTTTGCTCTCCGTAGTGTGTGTCACGCTTGTCTGTGCAAGTCCAGGGGGCCGGGGCTCTGCAGGGATTGCGGCTCCCCTGCCCAGTGTCCAGCAAAGCACCATGTACCTTTTGGAAGCCCCGAGGAGGTGTCTGTGCTCAGATGTGGTTCTTTCCTAGGAATAACCCCTGCTGTGTCCCTGTGGAGCTGGTGCCGGAGCCCGCTGGGTGTCTTGGGCACAGATCGATGGGCTGTGCTGGGTTACAAAGCAGCTTCAGAGCCTCTTCTCCATAGCCATCCACACGTGGGGCTTGCAGGAGAGCTCGGTGTCCCCGGCTCCCAGGGCTTGGTTAGGTTTCTACAAAGCTCAGCAGCAGGTGGGGGATCGTGCCCTTGTATCAGTCAGGGTGCTGAATGAGCAGTTTTCTTGGTGTGTGCCTCGGTTTCCCTGCCTACAAGATGGAGAAGGGCCAGAAATCAAAGCAGGTCTTGATTATAGCACAGCCTAAGGTCCTTGCTCAGTAGGTCCTCATTATATCCACCCGCATCAAGACTGGTGCCAAAACCTCCTTTGACATCTGCAGGTGCCCAGGGGTGTGAGTGAAATTTCACAGGCTGAGATTCAGGCAGGTTTCCCTGCTTAAGAAGGGCAAGTAACGTCAGGGCAGTGTTCTCCGTCAGGCCTGGCACCTCCCTGCACTCTCACTCGCTGCTCCCTTGCTCCCCAAGACCAGAGTGTGAGTTTGAATTTCAAATGAGCGAATGTATTTGCGTCGTGCCTGGCTCGTTGCATCCTTCTTGCCTAATTGTGTCCAGCAGAGGTGCTTTCTGCATGCAGGCGTGTGTCTCGGTGTGTTTGGGGGGGGACGTGATTATGGTAGAGATGTTGTTTTAAAGCAAGTGAAACCCAAGCAGGTGATGTGAGCAGCATCACAGGGCTGAGCACAACAGGGAGCGGTTCCTGGTCCTTGGGAGCTGCTCACAAACTCTTCAGCTTCAGGGAAGCTGGAGACACAGTTGAAAAGGTTGGGTTGAAGTAGTGGCCGTGTGCCTGAACCGTCCCCCTCTTCCCTGTTCCTTTGCAGAGACCCTTGGCTCTAAGTTTTGACTTGGTAGGTGCTTCCCAAAGAGCCAAATCCAAAATTCAGGCTTGCCTGTGCCCATGCTGTGGGCCGTTTTCTCCGCTGGTTGACAGCACGGAGCCAGGCTCCTGAGGGCTCAAGCCTTGCTCTTGCTCTGCAGATATGCCACCTTGGTCCTAGCAGGGGAGGAAAATGGACCCCGTGCCACGCCAGCAGGCTCTGGAGGGCTTTGTCTTTCCCACCGCCCTCCGGCTCCGTGCCTGCCTCGCTGTTTGGTGCTGGTGGGGCTGCGCTGTGTCTGCCTGTTGCATCCCATCTCGTCGTGGCCGCATTGTCTGTTCCCCTCATCTGTTTTGTCATGTGTCCTTGTCAGTGTTCGGTATGGATTAAATCCGTGTCCTTTCCTTGCCCCGGGTCCTCAGGGCTTTTGTCTTGAGTCACAAGAAGGGGTCACTGGGCAGCGCTGGGTCTCTCCCCAGCAGCGTGGCCAGTCCTGCCCCTTTTAGCTGCCTGTCTTGGC